AAATAAAATAAAATAAAATAAAATAAAACACAATATGTTTTAAGTGAGGATCAGCTGCCAGCAGTTTGCACCCAGGAAAAGGTCAATGAAAATGTGAAGGAAGGTCTTTGCAGAGAGTGCCTGGCCTTTTTTTTCAGAGTGGCCCAGTAAACCATTATCCCAGACCAGAAACTCAGTCTCTGGGCTGGCCAGTTCAACTCTCACCTCCTTAATTTCACAACAGGAGAAATCCATCACCCATTGCCTACTTTGAAAGCAATTTTAAAGCTTCAGGCAGTCATTTTTGACCTTACTCCAGCTTATCTGGCACAGTGCACTGTTCATAGGCTACTCAGATTCACAGCTGCAATAAAAGAGAGCCATTCAATAAACAGCTCTTGGGTTTTTCTTTGTTCAGATACACCAGCTGATGTGCTTCAGAGATTACTGCATTATCAGGACAGTTGCATAACTGAAAGGGGAGCGAATACCTTTTCAAAACAGCAAATGAACTGCCAGGTGCAGGTGTGAGAAGGACAAACAGAATCAGTACAGGCTTAACACAGAGGAAAATGGCAGAACTTAAAAGCAAAGGTCACATTAAAAAAACACAATCAGAAGAAGAAATATTATACTTTAACCATATATTCTCTGCTTGTTCTGTGTTGTTAGTTCTGGTGTTGCCAGCCTTCAGAATAAAAACCTGGCATCAGAGCCAGAAAAAGATCAAGTGGATGGTTTAATGCAAATCAAGCAATCTTCTCAGTCTTTTGGTTTGTTTCCTGATTCTTCAGAAACTTTTCCTGAAATCATACAGGGAATGCTGAACCAATTCAACTGACTCTCACAGCCCCTCAACAGGTACCCACTACCTCTGTGCTGTGAGTTGTGTAAGGAAAGTCATCACCTGTACATGGATCAAGAGGTCAAAGATGGCGATCCTGACCCAGAGACCACTGTACATTGAGGAGTCAGAGATCCACATCACAGTTAACCTGAACAGGTGCAGATTGTGCCATGCTGCTCAGATCAAACCACTGCACAGGTTATCTTGTGTTTGGCCACAGGATAAACTCAGCCAGCTCATTGTAGCAGGCAGCTCCCACTTGGTGCTGTCTAAAAGGGCAAGAGTAAATTCTCCTGTGAACATCCTGCATTAATAGATTTTTTTTCTTGTAAGAAAATTATATAATAGCTTCAATAGCCAAAAAGGAGGAGCTTCTCTTCACGGACAGGGCCTGCTCAGTGTGCCCTGGCAAAAATCCAGGCAGGTTCCAACTGATGCTGCACAAACTAAGGTTCCCAGTATCTGAAGGGACATAAGATTTACTCACTATCTATACTCCTTTTCTTATGTTGTCATATTAAAAAAGCTGTTTTACTAAGCAATTTGTTGTCAGGCCTTTCTTACAGAGATCCAGAAGAGCCCTGCATTGGCTCATTCTCACTTCACCCCTCACCTCTGGGACAGAATATCTGTGCTTCCCACCTATGCCTTAAAATACTAGTCTTTGCAAGCTAGGTATCTGTGCTCCTCCTTCAGTCAACAGAGCTAACCCATACCATTCACAGGCTCTGTGGAGCAAGTCAGTGCACTTTCAGTCAGCTGAATCACTTTAAGACTCCACTAGAGCAGAATCATGCTGACTAGCCCTCCATATGAGGGTAGGATTACTGCAAGGATGGCCCCATCCCCATTTGGTTAGGATGTATGAAATGTCTTTTTAAAAAATGACATAACAGAAAGCTATTTCAGATACAAATGTTGCTAGACCATCCAAAGGATGACCAAAAAGGACCTTGAGTACTCGCAGTGCTTGCATGCCTTCAAAGGAAGACAGAAGCAATACCTGATAGCAATGCTGTTACAAAATAATTTTCCTTTATGAACACAATCCATTCAAACTTTCTTGAGTTCAGCTGCAGAGACCTGCCTTCTGCCCAAAACCAGCTTTTCCTGATGCAATCAAACATCTCAGAAGGACTGCAACAGCCAGGAACTAGATTTTAAAGTGTCATTGGCATACTTTTAGCAGCCAATGTTACTATGCTGTTTGTGGCTAATCTAAGGCATGTCATTCTCTCTCCCATTACCTCATATAGACTCACAGATAGGCAGGGACTTAAATCATATAAAAGAACATTACTGAACATGTAGTGATCCCTAACCATGTAATGCCGAGCTAGTTAAGATGTAAACCTGTATAAAATTCTATAAAACATAAATGGCCGCTCCCAGCAATGAATGGACCCTTATACATAGAAAGAAAAAGAAAAAAAAAAAGGCACTCATAAACCAAGCCAGGAAGACAGTTCAGCTATTGGCTGCTGCTGTACCTCCTCCTTTGCTCTCCTCACACTCATAGGAGGAACAGAAACTCCACCCAAGCTTTCGTGCTACTTCTGCCTGAAAATCTTAAATCTGTGCACAGCCGTCAATACAGCCAAGCACGGAGGACATTCAAGTGGGAAAAATTCTCTGGCAAGTTTCTTTTTCCTTCTTTTTTTATATTTCTTGGGTCACTGCCCAGTCACCAACCCAACCTCTAGCTCTGATCAGCAGAATCTGTGTGAAATCGGGTGTGAGTAAACAAGGAAACGAAAGGAAATACTTTGGAAATGTTTACTGTTGGGATTGAAACGTCTCTTCTCTTCTGTGGCTCG